AGAGTCTCCTATGATGATTGGGGAGCCTAAAAGTGACCTTGATGACGTTGACCCTTAGAGGAGATCCCTGTGAACACAAGAACCAGCTCAAACATTCAATGCCTGGTCCCTGCTGGAACTGGAGTCGTGTTGCTGATGCCATTGGGAATCTGGGGGAGCAGTGGCTTCACAGGACCAGAGGAGATGCTGGAGGAGGTTGTTTCCCTGCAAGATAAAAGCATTTTTATAGCCACAAAGGCTTCAGATCAACAAATGCTCTAGAAAACTGCATCTTCACCTGCAGTAGCTTGTGACAGTCCAAAACACCGAAACCAAGTTTGTCAAGAAGATTTTATCAAATACACAAACGCTAGTGGTTGAATTTTTATGTGAACATTAAATGAGTGAATGTAAAACTGTTGCTTTTCTGTGATGCTGCAAAAAAAAAAAAATTCTTTTGGTTTTTATACAGGAAAAAAAAAAAAAGAAACAGACTGCCCTTATGTATGGAGGGCAAATTTTTAATCTTTCTGATAATATTGAATAGGAATATTCAAATTTCTGTAAAGATGTGTGATGACTTACATTTCATTGTAAAATATTAGTTAAAGAATGGGTTTACATAAGGACTTCTGTATTTAATATGTCTCCCTGCTAATTTGTAAAGCTCTTGGATGAGAAAGATCAGCAGGATTGCTCTGTAAGAAGAGTGATTCCTTATGGAATGATTTGGTAAAGGAGCTCTGGAATGAGTCATCTTTCCCAGTACCCTTCCAAAAACCCTTCAGACAGCTGGAAAGGGCAGTAAAAGAAAAGCTTTGTTCTCTAGGTATGCAAGCATTTATTATTCAAGGATGTTGGTGAATTAAAAAGGAAAAAAAAAATGAAAAAGTTAATGAGTAGTTTAAAAGAAAAAAAGCACTTTAAGAAGGAATTCTGTTGCAGTTTTACTCATTAAATTTTTTTAACCTTTGGAGACATATTGAATAAAATGTAGTCTCAGTCATGGATCTGCAATCACTTGCTTATGCTTTGAAATAACTGAGAAAGTTGGTATTGGTTGTATATGATGAATAATTCCTTGAGTGAGCTGGGAACACTGTTGTGCGGATTTTAGAGCAATTTTAACACGGGGAAAGAAAGAATTGGCTTTGTTTGCATTTTCACTTGACCAGGCAACGTTTAAAATATCACAGCTCTTTTAATTTGCTCACAAATAACTGGAAACCAGTTGGGATGATTTGAGCACAGTTTTGTTTTCTATGTCAAGTGCAGTTCAGTGATTTCTGGCTCTGGATTCAAGCTTCTTTTGTGCCAACTAACTTCATCTTTTGTACATTTTGTGTTTGTCACATTTTCTGCACTGCTTTTTGCCTTTATTTATGGATTCTGCCTTACTTTAAAAAAATTATATAAACAAACATGCACAGAAACGGGGGACATCTTAAGGAGTGCCTGGGTACCTCCAGAATAGACAAATTTGCCAAGTTAAAGGCACAACCAGCCAAAAAGTGCCTTTTTTTTTTGTTTCTTTTCACAGGCTGCTGCCAAAACACAGAGCAGCAGACAGCTTTTCACTGTTGTGCACTAATATTGAAAGTAACCAGTCATTTCACTGTTGGAAGGAACCACGGGACGTGATGTCAGCTGTACAGCTTTGTAACTTATTGTGGGGTAGGATGGATTGCAGGGGGGCACAGCAATGTCTTCACAGACACAGGGCAGAGTTAGCATTTTGTAAATGTTTCTGATGATGTGCTGGGACGTTTTAAACGTGACGCGTTTTAAATTAATTTGGAACTAATCATTTCTTACAGACACCCCCCTTTCCTTCCTTCCTTCCCCCACCCCCAAATGCTTTGGTAATGGGCCATGAATCTTCCCAAGGAGTCAGTAGACAGCGGTGATGGGAGAAGCTGGTCATGTTCCCATGGGTTGGCACCACTTGTCACTTCAGGTTCCTGTTATTTCCTATGGAAACAACATCCTCGCTAGCTGCAGGCCCAGGGAAGCCTTGGTGGGAATTGCATCAGGATGGCTCATCACCACTGTCTACTTGAAACCAATACAAACTTTTTCACCCTTCTGCTCACGCTTGTACAAAGTCAGTGGTTATAATTTGCAATAAGATGATACTTGGTCACTTATTTTTGTTTCCAGCTGCTGTCATTCGAACCTGCTGAAGATTATTTTTTGGAAAATAGAGTTCAACAAAAAAGAAAAAAAAAAAAACCAAACTAGTTTTTGTGTAAATTGTGATGCATTTATATGTTGTAATTTTTACTGCCAATCTTTTTGGATGAAAATGTTTTTATACAGCTTACAAAATGTTCAGTGAGGAGCAGCCACAGCCTGCCTGTGAGCGCTCGGGGAGATATTGTCCAATTAATGCATAGATATTTGGCACTGGAAAAATAGGCAGTCTTGATGAACAGTCTTGGGATTCCTGGTCAATGGAATAAAGTTATTCCTTTCACAGAAAACTAGTGTAATCTTTAGCCTGTGCACACTCTGCTACACTCTTGTCTTGTTGATCCTCTTACCCTGAACCTGCCTGGGCCAGCCCTGCAGATGCTGAGCTCCTCGAGGGTGCCCTGATTGCTGCTTTGGCTCCTGTCCAGAGTCACTGGAAGCGGCTGCGTGGCCCTGGAGCTGCCCTGCTGTATATCCTTATGCCACAGGGTGTGCTGGGGCTCTGTCACATCTGCACCTCTGAGCAGCTTCTCCTGCCCTCAGCAGAGTGATTTACCCTGGCCACGCTCACGGTGGCGGATTAGAGCGGATTTTGTGTGTCAGATCTGAGATTTGTGGGTGAGCTGGGTGTGAGTTCATCCTGCCTCCCGCAGGGGCAAGGGCCAGAGGGGTGCACACACAGCTGCTGTTCCATTACTCGCTTATTTGGGAACCAGGAGCTGCAGCCAGGGCTGCCACCCCCCCTCTGCCTTTGCCCCCTGCTCTAAGGACAAGGACTTCCACTTTTGCAGCCTGACCCAGGCTCTGCTCTCCCTGGTGGTCCTGGGAGCACGGGCTGGGCATTGCAAAGCGCTGCCAGGACTGGGATCAGCACCGCTGGGATCAGCCCTGCTCTCCTGACTGCGAGAGGCTTTTCCGCCTACCCACGTACAAGGTACAAAGCAAGGGCTAATCTTTTAATATTGTTTCCTTCCACCAGGCTTATGAAGGCTTGAGCTGAGCTGGGGAAGCTCTGTCTGGCTTATCAGGCGTGGAACATGCTCACACCTTGTGCTGGATCCTCCCCTCTCGCAGGGCAGGCAGCAGAGCTGAAATCCTGGTGTGTGTTTTGAGAGGTGACAGCCCAAGGAGCCTGCTGAGAAATCACCCTCGGTGTCAGAGCTGTCCAGGAGCTCTCAGGCTGACATCCCTTTTTCTTTTCTGCCTCTTTGTGCAAAATTCAGGTTCCAGCTGAATGAAATTGTGGGCTGTAATTATGTCCATGTTATATAATTACATGTTTGGATTAGGGTTGGGCTTTTGCCAGCTTCAGTTAACAAGTAAGAATTAGTTTCAACCTTTCAAAGTGGTATTTTGTGCTGGGTGTGTCTTCTCTTGCCAATTAAAGCCAGAGTAACAGAGCTGCTGGGGGCTTTTGGGTGGGGAAAAACACCCAACCCAGCCAAGTCTGACAGGTTAACCTGGAGCTTGTGGCATCAAACTGTGGGGGTTTTTCATCTATCCTCAGATAACACCACAAAAATTACATATTGTAGTAGCAGGAGGCTGCTGAGCACTGAGAGAGAAGCGAGACCCAGCTTTGGTGGCTGCTGGTGCTTCTCAGCCTTTCCCTGCTCTGAGCCAAGCTTTGTCTCCTTCCTGGGGCTCCAGCCCTTCCCAAGTGAAGGAACAGCAGCAACCCAAGTTCAAGGGCACATTCCCAAAGCTGGCCCATGTTTGTTTCCATAACTGGAACTGTTTCCCCTGCACCACTGTTGTTAAAACAAACTCCTGGTCTTGTGAGTGTGGGGACAACACAGTGGCAGAGCTGTGGGCAAGGCTGTCTGTGCCAGCTTCCAAAGGTGCCAGCTGCCATCCAGGAGCACCTTGGGCCCCAGGCAGGGATCAGATCCCACATGAGGCTGCTGACTGACAAAGCAGAATCCCTGCTGCATGGGTCCCCCTTCCCTCTTCCAGACCAGCTCCCCAGGGGGATGTCTATGAAGCCAGACAAAAGACCACAAGAGCACAGGTCTATGAATTTTATTTTAAAAGGACATTTATAAAATGCTCGTTTATAAAACTCCAAGTAAATATTTAAGGTACAAATGTAAAAACTAAGGTGCTATGAAAGATTTTTCTTCATTCTGGGGTTTTTTTAAGGAATTGCAGCTTCCTACGGTCCTATGTGTCTTGGGAAGACCTGAAACTGTTAACACATAACACCAGCAGATCATTAACTTTGACTCAACAACAAAAAAAGCACTAATGAAGCAGTAGCTGACTGTAGCAATGCAGATAAAAATCTAATTAACCAAGCAGGCTGTTTAAACTAAAGCCCTTACACTTGACTCAAAAGTAAAGAAATCTCCTAGGAATACGATTAGGCAATTATAAAACTGCCCCAAAATGGCTAAACTAAGATTTTCCAGGTGCTAAGCAGCATTAGCTGACAACTAATGAGCAACTAAGCAGGAAAGGAAGGAGTGATCCTCACAACACTTTCTTCTTTAAAAAGCGGTGGATTTTTTCTATGTTGGGTGACAACACCATGGCTTGTTCTGTCAAGGTGTTTATAGGCAGGGAAAGGATTCTGGGATGACTCCAGTGATGGGAGAGGGCTCCAGCTGCATGGGGGATGCTTGGAGAGCTCTTGCAGAGCCACCCTGGATGCTGGCCCTGGATCCTGACCCTGCTGTGTGCAAGGGGGAGACGAGTTCGGTCATCAGCTGCATGTCAGAGCACGGATTGTTCTGGAAACCCTGGAAAGGCACCGAGCCAGGGACACACAGGTCCAGCAAGGCCTCCATCCCTGCTGTGCCCCAGGAGCCTCCCCTCCAGCTCGGCCCCTACTGCCGGCTCCGGCAGCAGATGGCCACGGCCACGGCCGAGCTGCTGCCAGGGCCAGCGGTGGCCACGCAGGAATTGTCCTCAGTGTGGGCTCCCACGGAGCTCTGGGACAGGGTGCTACAGCCTGTCAGTGTCCAGCCATCCTCACAGGACACTGTCACCTAATGGGGAGCAGAGGTCACCATCCAGGGGTCAGCACAGGGATGCCCATCCCGATGGCCCCACAGCTCAGGGTGTCGTGACTGCTGCCACGCATCCCATCACAGCTGGGGACAGCAGTGAGGGCTGGGCTTGGGACAGCCACACCAAAAGCCACCAGGGTGGCAGAGGAACATGCAGACACAGCAGCACAGCAGAGGAGCACGGCCCATCCCTACCTTGTCCTCGTGTTCCAGGGCCGTGCGCTCCTGCAGCCGGCACTCGAGGCTGGCACTGGGGCAGCACAGGGCGTGTGCCACTGCCCCTGTCCTGCTGGCACAGCGGCTGGGGCCCCTCCCCAGCCCCTCCTTGGGCCTGCCACCAGCACCCAGCACCACGGATGGGGAGTGGAAACTGCACCCTGCCCAGGGGAGAGGGGATATGGGCACAGGGCAGCCATGGCAGCATCCCAGCGCACACAGTGGTGCAAGGATGTCCCCAGAGAGCCCTGAACCTTCCCCCCTCCATGCACACAGCACATGCACCCCTTCCCTGCCACCCCAGCAACCACACCCTCCCTTTTACCCAAATCCCAGAGCGTTTCTGGTAGAAACACATTTGTCCATCATGCCCAAAGGTCTAAGCCCGTGTGTTGGGTGTTACCGGTCAGCACGTGTTCTCCTGGGGAGCACTGGGCCCCCTCGGCCCCCGGGGATCCGGCCTTGATCCGGCACCCGGCCCTGGGCCACGTGCAGCACCTGGCGATGGCATAAACGCCCTGGCCCCCGCTGTGGGCCACGCACTGCCTCTGCCCGTGCTTGTCCTGTGCATGGGGCACACAGCGTCACCTCGGGGGGCCGGGGACACCCCTCGGAGCCCAGCGGGCCTCCAGGGCAGCAGCTCCGCTCTGCTCTGCTCTGCTCACCTCCATGTGCTCCCCCAGCCGGCCGCCGCTGCGGGAGAAGCTTGAGCAGCTGAGCATCTCCTCGGCGCTGGCACAGCGAGCCACGGCCCTGGAGCGCCGGGAGAGCCCCGAGCGCGCCGACCACACGGAGCGGCAGAGCAGCCGCTGCTCCTCTGCAACGGGGCCGGGGCGTCAGCGGCGGGGGACACCCGCAGTGACACCCGCAGAGACACCCACACACCCTCAGTGCCACCCTCAGTGTCACCCACACACCCGCAGTGCCACCCGCAGTGCCACCTTCAGTGTCACCCACACACCCGCAGTGCCACCCGCAGTGCCACCCTCAGTGTCACCCACAGTGTCACCCAGCGCCCACGGCACCGACCAGGCTCCATCTCGCCCATCCCTGCCAGCGGCTGCAGCCAGGCTCAGCCGTCCCCGCACAGCTCGGGGGACATTCCCTGCCGTGCTTTCACCCCGGCACCTCTTCCCTGCTTAGGGCAGAGCTGTGCGAGCACCCAGCGGGCAGCGAGCTCCTCACCAGCCGCCAGCCATGCGGGCAGCCCCGCCACGCTGTTGGGCGTCTGCAGGCGCTGCTCCTGCGGGATCCAGGCCGTGTCCACGGCGCCCTTGGTGGAGAAGCGCAGGAGGCGCTGGAGGAGCTCGGCCCGGCTCAGCCGGGGCTCGGCGCTGAGCAGCACGGCCGCGATGCCTGCAAGAGCCCGGGAGGCCGCGGTTTCAACCGGAGGGGACGGAGCCGCCTGCGCGGCGCTCCCGTGGGCGGCAGGGCTCCAGAGACACGGCAGAGGCATCTCTGCAGCCCCTCGGGAGCGCTGCGCAGGCTGCAGCGCCCGAACGAGACACACCAGCCCCGTGAGACAGGGAGCACAAAGATGCCCCCAGCCCGGGCATGCCCGGAGCCCTGTGCCAGCATCAGCCCTCCCTGCCCCTCGGGGCACAGCTCGCCTGCCACATGCGCGGCCGCCTGCGAGGTGCCGCTCCGCGCCGTGAAACACGTGCTGCAGTCGCTGGAGGCGCCGACGATGTCGTCCCCAGGGGCAAACAGGTCCACGCAGCGGCCAAAGTTGGTGCCCAGGGTGCCGATGGAGGCAGGCCGGTCCTGGCTGTCGGTGGCACCCACCGTGATGACCTGGCAGTGACAGCACGGGAGGGGTGGCGCGCCCAGCCCGGTGACCCGGGGCATGACCCGCAGGGATGAGGTGGCACCCCAGCCTCAGGGTCCCCCACAGCCGTACCTCCGGCTCGGATGCAGGCGAATAGAGGCAGGCATCGTCCTTGTAGTTGCCGGCAGCCGCCACCATGACCGCTCCGGTCCGTGCCAGCCGCCGGCAGCCCGCGTTCAGCGCGGGGCTCAGCGCTCCGGCCAGCGGCAGCAGCACCACCCGCGGCCGAGCCTCCAGCGCCCTCCCGATGGACTCCAGCGCTGCGAGCGGTAAAACACCATCAACACCATCGCAGGGAGCTCCGGGAGGGATCCTGCTCCCCTCGGGGCACGGGGTCACTCACCCATGAGGGTGCCGCTGACGGTGCCCTTCCCCTGGCAGTTCAGCACCCGCAGGCTGCGGATGTTGGCGCCCCTGGCCACGCCGGCGTCGCGCCCGCTCAGCACCGCGGCCACGTGGGTCCCGTGGCTGTCACACTGTCCGGCCTGGCACGGGCACCGCAGCTCCATGCCCCAGCCCATTGCAGCAAAGCAGGTTTGCAATCCCACAGCGTGCCCCCCATTCTCTCTTACCCGGCACACACCCGTGCTACCCTAGAACACTTTCCTAGAGAGAAGCCCTGCCCGACTCAGCCGTATCTCCAAACACACCACCTTGAGGGTCCCAATATCCCCCAGGACCACAGCTCTTGTTGCCCATCCTGCCCAGCATTTTGGTCCAGGCCAGGTGTCTCCCTTGTCCTGGAAAGCCTCACAAGCCCAGCCAGGATTTGGTGGATGCAGGGGGGTGCTCTGGCAGCACGTGGCAGCTCAGGACTCACCTGCCTGTGGAAGTGGGTGCCATCCTCCTCGGGGATGCTCTCAAAGCCAGTCACAGTCACCCTGCCCTCGATCTCCCTGTGGCTGCTCTGCACGCTGCTGTCCAGCAGGTAAATCTCGGCCAGGTCACCTTTATCTGCCAGGGATGCAGCAGGGGAGAAGGGCAACCTCCATCACGGCCAGCCCAGGCCACCTGGGCTGCTCCCAAAATGCAGCTCCAGACTCGCAGCACCATGGGGCAGAGGAATATTCCCATCCCTCAAGGAGAGGGGATCTGACTCTCCCTCAAAGCCCCCCTCAAACACCCCAGCGCTTACTGGGAGTGCTGTAGGAGCCCGAGCTGGGCTGTGGCCGCAGGATCCTGCCCAGGTTCCAGGGAATGCTCTGGGCAAAGACGTAGGCATCCTCCTCAATGTACTTCACGTGCGGCAGCTTCAGCGCCTGCGGGGAGGACACAAAGCTCCTGTTTGCCCCCAACGCTGGGGCTGCCACCGCCACCGGCGCCCAGTGCCCAGTGCCACCACCCTGTCCTACCGTGTCCAGGACGTCGCTGCTCATCCTCACCAGAAACGCGGGCAGGAGGTGGAAGAGGTGCAGCAGCTCGGCCAGGTGTCCCCGCCGAGCCGCCCGGGCCTGCAGCCGCCGGGCCGTGCCTCGCAGCTCGGCCTCGCTGCCCGCCCGCAGCATCACCACGTAGCGCCCGGGCAGCCGCCACGACGCCTGCGGGGACACCGGGATGGGGTTCGGGACACACAGACACACAGACACACACACAGGAGCGTGGCTGTGCCCCCTCCCCACGCTCCTCACCTTGGCGGCGCGATGGAAAGCAGCGGGTCCCGGAGGGGCGGCCCCGACGGCGGCTTCCCCCTGCTCGGCCGCCCGCAGGCCCAGACCCAGCTCCGCCAGCGCCAGCACCAGCGCCAGCTCCAGCCCCCGCGGGGACATCCCGCACCCCACGGGCAGACGGGAGACGCCGGGACCCTCGGGGCCGGGGGTGGCACTGGCGGGGAGCCCCTGCGCGACCGCCGAGGGGCCGGAGCGCACCCGCGGGACCGAGGGGCCGCTGCGCGGTGGAAGGGCTGGAGCGGGGCCGGGGAGCTGGAGCGGGGCCGAGGGGCCGGAGCGCACCCGCGGAGCGCACCCGCAGGTCTCAGGTCCCGGAGCGCACCCGCGGATTTGAGATCCCGGAGCGCACCCGCGCAGGTCCCGGGGCGCACCCGTGCAGGTCCCGGAGCGCACCCGCGGATCTCAGATTCCGGAGCGCACCCGTGGATCGCCGGTCCCGGCGCGCACCCGCGGATCTCGGGTCCCGGAGCGCACCCGCGCAGGTCCCGGAGCGCACCCGCGGATTTGAGATCCCGGAGCGCAGCGGCGGGCGCGGCTCGGTCTGGCCGGGGCTCAGCGCGGATCCCGCCGCGGCCGCGGGCCCCACCGGGCACGCCGGGCGGGTTAAGCATTAACGGGGCCGAGGGGAGAGGGCGGATGGGGCCGCTGCTCACCCCGAGTCCCGGCGGATCGCTGGGGGCTCTGGCGAGCAAAGCGCAGCCGCTCAAGGACTGCTTTGAGAAAGGGCTGAAAGCTTTAATGTGCCTCCTACTGCCTCACTCCACGAATAATTTCCCGTGAAATCCTCTAATCCTGTTTGGGCATTTTTTACAGAGTCGTCACACATGGCAGATGCCCTTTTTGCGGGATGATATCGGCGCTTTCCTGCGGGTCCCCACGCCGCTTCCCACCTCTGCCCTCCCGCAGCATCGCGATCCCACGCTGCCCCACATCCCCAGTGACCTTCGGCAAACCCCGTCCCTGCTCCCGGCTCTTCAGGGAAATAGGAATTTGTGGTTTTGGCTGGTTATTTATAAGCTCCTCAGAGGTTAAATGTTTATATGGATGCACACGTTTTATACAGATGTGCGTGTTTGGTATGGTTTGTATGAATTTATGTTTTACATGGTGTACATGTTATAATTATGTGTGTGGTTTGTATGCACATACGTGTTTTATATGGATGTGTGTGGTTTGCACCCACCTATATGTTTTAAATTATGAACGTGTTTTATAATTATATGTTATTTATCATTATCCATGTATTATTTATAATTATAATTAATTTAAAAATAATTTTATAATTAATGGTTTGCATGGGCATTAATGCTTTATACAGGTGTGCATGTTTTACAAGGATGTGCATGGTTTATATGGATGGGTGTGTTTAATATGGATGTGAACAGTTTGCAGGGGAAATGTTGATTTTTTTAATGAGACCTCAAGCCTGAACTCTGGTTCGTGTGACTGCAGGGACACCAGACCCGGCTTGTCACCCCTCTGCTGCACAGAGCTGACACTGGAAGGGGTCAGCCTTCAGGACACTGATCATGGGGTCAAGCCTCACTCCTGATTTTGGCTCAGCTTCCTTAGTGCTGCAAAGTCCCACAACGCACCACAGGGGCCTCAGGAGGCTTCTGAGACAGCTGGGCACAGGGGGACCCTGTCTCAAGGGGGACAGTCTCCTTCTCCCTGCCGCCTTTCCCTTTTGCACAGGGGACAGCCTGTGACTCAGGGGACAATCTGTGTCCCAGGGAAGGATGGAAGGAGCCCAAAGAGGAGGGAGGGGGTGGCAGAATTCCTCAGTTCCACGTGCATCCCCATGTGCTGAGGAACCCATGGAGATATTGGAAGCCTGGGAAGGGATCTGGCCCAGCTCTCACACTCCAGGACTGGGTCTGCAGAAAGGTTTTTTTTCTTCTTAACTGAGAAATAAATAGCCCAAAATTTGCACCTTGTGCAGGAGAGCTCTGTTTCAGCCCTGGCTCCCTGTGGAGCTCACAGCGAGTGTGTCTGTGTAAAGGTGGGGAGGAAGGAGAGAGCAGAGGAGGCATCAGAGAAAATCTCAACAAGGGGGAAGGGCTCCTAAATCCCTGCTGCTGTCCCTCCGCTGAGAGAGATCGAGCATCCCGTCGGCAAAAAGAAATGTTTCCTTAGAAACTGAGAGATTTCCGCGCCTGTGTAATAATTTCAAGATAGCAATAGCTACATCACACTCATAGTGGCGGGATACTGTCCTGCACCAGCCGGGAATCGAACCCGGGTCGCAAGAATGGGAATCTTGCATGATACCACTACACCACTGGTGCGCTGGCATTACCTGCCCCCCTGTGGGGTAGCAAGGCTGGGGCCCGTCCCCGTCCTGCGTGAGTGTCACCGCCAGTCCCTCCTGTCCATCTGCCCCCATCCCCGCGGGGTCACACGCGTGGCCAGAGTGAGTGTCACCGCCAGTCCCTCCTGTCCATCTGCCCCCATCCCCGCGGGGTCACACGCGTGGCCAGCGTGAGTGCCACCGCCACCAGCCCCTCCTGTCCATCTGCGCCCATCCCCGCGGGTCACACGCGTGGCCAGCGTGAGTGCCACCGCCAGTCCCTCCTGTCCATCTGCCCCCGTCCCCGCGGGTCACACGCGTGGCCAGCGTGAGTGCCACCGCCAGTCCCTCCTGTCCATCTGCCCCCGTCCCCGCGGGGTCACACGCGTGGCCAGCGGGCGCTGCCCCCTGCTCGGGCCGAGCCGGGCCCGGGGCTGCGGGCGGCGCTTAATGCCATGCAGGAATGTGCCGCTCCCACAATGTTTAACCTCGGCCGGCGCGGGAGCCGAGTCCCTGGGCTCCAGGATGCTGTGCCGGGATGGGGGATGCACTCCCAGCTGCGGGAGAGGGTCCAGGCTCCGTGTCAGCCCCCTCCCCAGCCTCTGCCGGGAGAAATGCTTCTGAAAAACAAATTTCTTTTGCCAAAAGTGAAAGTGAGTGCCGAGCCATGAGGTAGGAATCTCTTCTGTGAGGAAATTCTGGGAGAGTGCTCAACCTGGAGAAGAGAAGGCTCCAGAGAGACCTTAGAGCCCTTTCCAGCACAGAGACTGCAGGAGAGCAGGGAGGGACTTTGGATCTGAAGTGCTGGCACAGTTTTCCCAGGGAAGCTGTGGATGTCCCATCCTTGGACACATTCAAGGCCAGGTTGGACAGGCCTTGGAGCAGCCTGGTCTGGTGGAAGGTGTCCCTTGGAACAAGACAATCTTTAAGGTCCTTTCCCAACCCAAACATTCTGTGCTTCTTTAGGTAAAAGCTTCTGGGTCTCCACCAGATTCCCACACTCCACAGGAGCACAGTGACACCCTGCCCAGGGCACCCTCTGAAAGTCAGTGAGATGTGGCTCCATCCAAACAGCATTCCCAGAGCCACCACGCTCCCCCAGCCTGGGAAGGACAGGCAGGAGCTGGGTCCATGCAATCCATCCAGTAATGCTTCCCCTGGAGAGCAGCTCACAGCCCCATGCCAATGTTTAGCCAACACTGCAGCCTTCATTCCCCACCCTCCTGTTGGCCATAAACACCCCAAGTGCTCCCTGCCCTTCTGCTTTGGTGACACCAAGGTGAGCCCAGGGTGCAGCAGTGTCACAGGGCTGTGACACCAAGGTGAGCCCAGGGTGCAGCAGTGTCACAGGGCTGTGACACCTCAGGCACAGCCTTTTCTTTGCACAGCCTGCACTGTACCAGCCAAGCACAGGACATCCCTGCAGGGCTCTGTGCCCCATCCCCCTGGGCTGCTGGGGGACAGCTTTCCCCCGCTTTTCCACCTGGGGGGTTGGAGCTGCAGGGATTTTTAGCTCCCTTCCAGCTCAGTTCTGTGATTCTATGGGATTTGCTGAGGTCTCCTCTGCCAGCAGATGTGTGCTCCCAATTCTCCTGGGGCCATGCCAGGCACAGGCAGACCCAGCCCAGCTTTCCCAAAACAGAGCAAGGGACTCTCACAGCATCCCCATGCTGCTGGATGCTTTGATGCAGACCCAGTGGCCCTGGGGAGGCTCAGCCTCACCCTGCAGTCCTGAGCAGCCAAAGGTTGTGGCTCCCAGCAGCTCTGCCATCTCTGTGTGCTGGGGACAGGTTTGGAGAGTCCCTGTGCTGTCCCTGTTGTGGTGACAGGCTGAGATCCACCCACACCGTTTGGGACAAACACTTTTTATTCACAGGAAGTTTGGGGACGGTGGGTGCCAGCCTGCAAAGCCACCTGCAGCTGATGACACCAACCCAGCAGACTGTGCAAAGCCACCACCTCAAGTGCCATCACCGGGGCTTTGGCTCAGCTGTGTCCTCCTCCCTGTGCCCCCAGGAGTGCTGGAAGTGGTCCTTGTGCAGGAGACAGGGGACAGCACAATCTGTCCCCTCCGTCACCCCTCTCCCAACCTGGCTGCCCGCTGCAGGAGATTCTGGATTGAATTTTAATTTCAGCAGAGCTCGGGTAAGTGGGAAAAAGACTTTGAGGACATCTCTGCCTGATAAAACCCACCTGCCCTGAGCAGGTTTTACCCACCTACACCTGATCCTGTTCCAAACAGCACGGCCAATCCTTTCCCTTCCCAAGCACAGCACTTAGCCCAGATCCTGCCCAGCCCAGCTTCTCTGTGCCCACCCAAACGGCTCTGGCAAGGATGCCTTGTCCCGTATTCTGTTGAATTCAGGGGCTGGGTGTTCCCCCTTTGGCTCTGGGGGAAATCACAGCCTCCTGAGTGGCTGGGTGTGCACAAGAGGTGCAGCACGGCATGGGGATCCTGGGGCCACTGCACTTTTGGGGACAGCCCCCTTTCCCCCAGGCTATGATCGGTGCATCCCCTCCATGAGGTGAGTCCATGCCAAGTGGCCATTCTTCCCAGGAAATCAGTTCTCAGGCTCAGACAGGCCATCGCTCTCCTTGAGCAGAGCATCCGGCTCCTCCTGGAGCCCGTAGTAGAGATCGTCCTCCCTCCCGGGGCCCTTCCGGGGGGCTCGGGGCTGCTCTCCCCGCTCCGGGAGGCCGGCATGGTTGGAGCAGGGCAGGCTCCGGCTCTGCGGCGCGGGGCTGCCGGGCACGGAGCCCTCCAGCGACGGCGTGTCCATCTCCTCCAGCAGGGATGCCAGCGGAGCGTCCCCCGGGCTGCGGGGACACCGAACACCAAACGCGGCTGGGCAGGAGGTGCCATCCCCGGCCGTCACAGCATCACCAGTGCCCTGGCTGGAGGGACCTGCGATGTCTGTCCCTATCCCAGCCCTCGGTGCCTGCTTTTTTGGGGAAAACCTGCCTGCCAGATTCCTGCTGCCCAGGGGCTGAAATAATGGTTGTGCTACCATTTCCTGAACCTGCAGCTGGGATGGGAAAACAATGCACCCATCCCAGCTGTAGCTACATTTTGGCAGCTGCCCGTATGCCCTGAACAGTGACCCCCATCACTTGCAGAGCCCTCTGGGACCTCTCAAACCAATGTTTGGGCATCATATGTGGCATCTGGTTTGAGGATGACGTGCTGTGCATCTCATTTCTATCAAAGTCTGACCAGAAACTTTGGGGTTATTCTTGTTAGGGACGCTGTTTATATTGATAAAGTGAAATAAAAGCAAAATGCGAAAATGCAATCATCAAAATACAAATTACAACCAAAGGCCATCTAAACGTCCTCCTGGGAAATAATTTGGTTCAGAGAATCCTTGTGGCTTGAGACTCCATCCCCACCATTCAGTGGGGCCGAGGGTGTGGAGGCTCAGTGCTGTGACAGCAGCAAAAACCCCTCAGCATCCTCTCCCTCCCGCCAATACTGGGGGTCTGATCCCCCCATTTTCACCCCTCATCCCAGCAGTGCCACCCCAGGCCCGCAGGCATCACCTACCAGCTGCCTGCTGCTGTTTCCCGGCGGGACGGCAGCTCCTGCAGGGGCTCTGCAGCGCCGTGCAGCTCCCGGTGGATCTCTGCCCTGGCCTGCAGGGATGGCTGCGAGCAGCTCCGGGGCCGGGGGGGCTGTGCCCGGGCTGGGGCTGGGCACACCGAGCTCACCTCCTGCCTCTGGACCTGCTCGTAGGATGGCAGGCTCTTCTCGTAGGTGCTGCTGGCCTCTGGCTTGGGGCAGGGGGAAACCAAGCTGCAGGCAAAGGGATAACAGGGTGCTGAGCAAACCTGGGCCCCGTGGAGCTGGGAGATGCTCAGGCACGTGCACACAGGGCCCCATCACCTGAGGGAGTGGCTTTAGAGGCCACCAAGGCCGTGTCACTGCCCACACCAGCAGCAGAGCCAGGGGATGCCTGCAGGAGCACCACTGGGTGATGCTCTGCCTCCCCCAGCATCCCTCAGGCTCAGCCTCTCCCAGCCTGATCCCTGCTTGGCATTTTGTGTTGTACCAGGTGCAGCTGTCCCCAGTGTCAGAGCCTGTCCCCAGGGCACACACCACCCTGCTGTGGGACCCACCCTGTGTCCTTGTGTGGCAGCACCGTGGGTTTGTGGTCCAGGAACCGCTCGGCCTCGAGGTCCGCAGGGACAAACGTTATCTGGGGGAAAAGAGAGGCAGAGCCCAGGGCTGTGCTGGGCAGCACAGGGACCCCGGCCCTCAGAGTGGGGAGAGGGCCAGAGTGTCCCTTCAGCTGGGCTTAGGGTCTTTTCCCACCGTATTTGGACGTTTTCCTTGGAAATGGCACTTTTGAGGGCAATCAGTAAGGAATGAATGAGTCCAGCACAGCCCTGCTCTCAGTGCCTTTCACACGTGTCCCCAAGCCCAGAGGGAGTCCCAAGGCCCACACAGGAGGTCAGTGGTCAGGGACCACACTGAGTGTGTCCCATCCTTGAGCCTCCAGCACGGTGGCAAAGCCACATGTCCCTCCTGGCTGGGGCTGAGTTCAGCTTTGAGGGGAGCTGCTTTCTGCTCCACCCCAATCCTAGAGAACACAGCTGCTTCCAGAGGTCCCAGCTGGTCCTGGGTCCTGAGGTTGCTCTGCCACATTCTGGAGGGCAGCCAGGTTGTTGATGGGCCACCCAGCAGTCCCAGATCAGTCCTGCAGATGCCCTCTCCTGGAAAAAGCCCTTTTCTGCCAGAACCCTTCCCAGGGCGGGGACGCGTGGCTGCGCTCCTGCCGGCTGTGCCCTCTGCCAAGGAGACTGCCAGCTGAGTGCCCCCCCCGACCTCCACAGCCACCACAGTCCCTTCTTGGGAGCCCTGGGAGCCTGCCAAGCCCCAGAGCCCAGGGAAGGGCAGCGTGGGAGAGATGAACACAAATTTATTTCCTTGGGTTTGTTCCCTGCTGCCTGTTTGAAGCAAAGCCCCAGGCTCAGGGGTGAAGGAGATGAGGCACATCCTGCAAGCATCAGCAGGGCACAAACCTCCCAAAATAATTCCCTTTCCAGATTGCTGTAACTGGCTTTCCCTGGGGAAACTGAGGCTGCACATCCACAGCAGCCAAAGCCCCCCAAATCCAGCCCTTGATCTCCCCAAAGTTCCCAGCAGCAGCAGCAGGAAGGCTCCTACCTTTGGGTAGCACTGACACATGCTCCATGTGATGCCCACGGCCACCAGCAGCACACCCAGGACACAGAAGGTGATGTAGTACTGGGGCTTTTCCATGCTCATGATGAACATGCCCAGCATCACCAGGAAGAAGCCCAGGATGATGAAGCCGTAGCGGAAGCTCTTCTCTGCCATGGGCTCCGGCTGGGGGAGGCAGGAGGGGAGATTTTGGGAAGCCCGTCCACCTGAGGCTGCTGAGCACACCTGCAGCGTAAGGCAAGGAGTGGTTTCTCTCTCCAGAGGCTGCCAGGAGCTGCACGTCGAGCTGGTCCTGCCCAGGGCTGAGCCAGCCAGTTTTTAATGGGTTTGTAATGAATGCAAACACTGCCCTGCCGTTCACACTCCAGTGGAGCCACCCAGCACGTGTCCGGGTAACCTTCCCTGCAGGCACCCTCAGCCAGACCCACACCTTGGGAAGGGACAGGGGGAACCTTCCCTGCAGGCACCCTCAGCCAGACCCACACCTTGGGAAGGGACAGGGATAACCTTCCCTGCAGGCACCCTCAGCCAGACCCACACCTGGGGACAGGGATAACCTTCCCTGCAGCCCCACACCTTGGGAAGGGACAGGGATAACCTTCCCTGCCAGACCCCACACCTTGGGCAGGGACAGGGATAACCTTCTCTGCAGCCCCACACCTTGGGGACAGGGATAACCTTCCCTGCAGCCCCACACCTTGGGCAGGGACAAGGGAGCATGGCTGCAGGGATGGGGACCCGCAGACCAGCTGGTGCTGCTGGGATTTTCCCAGCCCTGGGCACTGGAGCTGGACTCAGTCATAAATCAGAGCTGGCACAGCCCCAGATGAGGGGGATGCCAGGGCCCAGCGTGTTCTCAAGGGCTGCGGGGCTGCAACAGGAAAAGAGGGAGAGCTCCAGGGTCATTTTGGAGGCTAGGGTGTTTGGAGCAGACCCTGCCTTGCTCTGGCTGAGTGCTAAGGCTGCCTCACTGGGCTGTGAAGGAGGAACTAAAGCCAGAAAAGGATGGAGTGAGGTTGGTCCACTCAGGGAGAGTAAAGACAAAGTGTCCCTGTGCCCTGTGTACATTAGGTTGGAGCTGGGGTGTTAAAAGGTGTCTCCTTCCCAGCACACACCCGACAGCCAGACAGAGTTTGTTTTATTCCCTTGATTTATTCCCCTGTTTTATTCCCTTGATACACCTGGTTCACGACAAATAATTCTATTACAAGCAGTGTGTTAGAGGTGGCTGTGGCTCCTGTGGCACTCTGCAGCCCTGCAGGGCCACGGGGGGCCCGGGGCAGCGCTGAATTGTGGTGGGATGCAGGAGCTGGCAGCTGCCACAGCTGGCCTCTCCTCTGGGCAAGGCTGCACACCCACCCGAGCAGGGCAGGGAGGAGGGGGCTGTGCCACTCAGGATGGCTTTTCCAGGAGGCTGCTGACATGCCAAGTGCACTGGGATGCTCTGAGCACAGGCACGACCCACTGAGCATGGCTGGCACCAAATGAAGTGAGGCGTGGGCAGTCAGCATGTAGGGAAACAAGGTGGAAGGGATGGGGACAGGGCTGGAAGGGGCATTCACAGGGAAGTGAGTGGTGCAGACAGAGCTGGGCTTTCTCTGCCCAGATTACTCAGTGTGCTGCACATTTATTATTGAGTGGGCAGGCCTGACAGGAGCTCCCCAGGGTGAGCAGGGAATGCAAAGCCTCTGAAACCAGCAGTGCTTTTATTAAAAATATGAAAGCTTTCAAACATGCCAGCTACCTTTGGTGCTCTGAACACATCTCCCAGCGCCGGAGAGCCGGGCAAGCCGGGCTGACCCTCCCCACTGCTCGCCCACCCTCCTCTCACCCCAGGTTTGGGGCTCAGTTTCCAGCTGGGACCCCGGGCAGCCCCGGCAGAGTCCCGGCCCGGGCCGGCGGCGCTCAGAGCCCCCGCACGATGATGTTCTCCATGATGTTCTCGTAGCTGGGAGGAGGCGTCGCCTGCGGCTCCTGGGGCTGTGCCGGGTCCAGCCAGGAGGGGCTGGGGCGGAACAGGGCGCTGTCCGAGGAGCTGCGCCGCCGGCCGCCCTGCCAGCCCTCGTCCTCCTCCAGGTAGCGGTACAGGGGCGGCGTGAGCTCCTCCTTCCTCCCCGGCGGCTGCACAAAGGCCGGGGCAGCGTGGGCTGGTCTGCAGGTCAGGGCTTCTTCATAGGTGGGGATGGCGCTGGAGTCCCAGGAGCTGCGAGGGGAGAGGAGGAAGCCCAGCAGTGCACACCATCAACATCCCAGCATCCAGCTGGAGCATCCCAGTGCCCAGCTGGAACATCCCAGCACCCAGTGGGGCATCCCAGCACCCAACTGGAGCATCCCAGCACCCAGCTGGAACATCCCAGCACCCAGTGGGGCATCCCAGCACCCAACTGGAGCATCCCAACATCCATCAACCCCATTGTCTGAGCATGATTAACTTGTGTACTATGGACAGCACACGGGCAGGTTTTGCTGAAGTGTCATGGGGTGACCCTGTCAGCTGCTTCTTGGCATCCATGAGGTTTTCAAGAGGGTCCCAGGGGCAGAAGAGCATCCTCACCATGCCTAGCCCCTAATTCACCCCCTGCAGAACAGAGGCTGCTGACAGCTGAGGGGGCAGCTTGGCACAAGGACCTGGGCAAGGAGCAGGGACCCCAGGTGCCCGTGGTCACACCCTGCTCCCAGGCCAGCCAGAGCCCTCCCTGCCCTGGCCAAGCCTGCTGCCACTTCCAGCAGAGCTTTCCTGAGCAAACACAGCTCGTGCACAGGGAAAACATCTGACAGCTCTGCCCTGCTCCTGGCCCTGCTTGCCCCAGGTGCAGCCGCAAAGCTGGGCATGCTGTGAAACCAAGTCATCACTGCAGGTGGAAGCCAGCCCCGTGTGCTGGGGAGCAGCAGGCAGGGGAGGGCACAGCTTGCCCAAAGGAAAAGCCATGTGCTCCAAGGAGAGATGGAGCAGGGCAAGGACAGCTGGGTGCAGGGCAGGGAGAGATGGAGCAGGGCAAGGACAGCTGGGTGCAGGGCAGGGAGAGATGGAGCAGGGCAAGGAGAGATGGGTGCAGGGCAAGGAGGGGGTGGGCAAGGAGGGTTGACATTAAGGAGCAGGAGCATCTGCTCGGGGGGCAGGAGGAGAGCACAGAGCAGGGCTGCTGTCCCTGGGGCCTCACCAGCCAGCAAAGTTTAGGCTCAGACCCATCCTCCCCCTGTGCCCAGCCAGGAGCTGGCAGGGACGAGGTTCCCACCTGCAGTTCCACTTCTCCGCGGGCTCCGCCGTGAAGTACTGCAGGTCCCGGGGGAAATGGTACTGGTAGCGCCGGGACACCACCCTGGCGTTGGCCTTGACGGACCACAGGAGGCCGAAGATGAGCAGGATGCCGCCGATGCCGCAGCAGAAGAAGCTGACGGAGCGCAGCAGGGCGCTGGAGGAGGAGGAGCTGGGCACGGCCTCGGCATCCCGGGGGGGCAGCAGCCGAGCCCCGCTGGCCGAGCCCACCTCGCCGTCGCTCCACCAGGCGAAGCAGAGCGTGCCCGTGACCAGCAGCACGGCCCCCGTGATGGTCAGGCCGTAGCGGAACGAGGCGGCGGCCATCCTTGGGGAGCAGCGATTAGCAGGGGACAGCAGTGAGGCAAGGCATGAGAGAGCCTGGAAGACAAGAAACGCGCCAGGTTTGAGAGGGAGAAGTTCGTGGAAGAACTGCCAGAGGAGAAAATTACTGGGCGAAGATATTATTATTATTATTATTATTATTATTATTATTATTATTATTATTAATTTTTATTACTATTATTATATTTTATTGTTACTAGTTTTATTTTATTATATTTTATCATTAATTATATTATTATTTTATTATAGTTAATATTTTATTTTATATATTATTAATAATGTTAATATTAATATTATATTTTCATTTTTACTATATTATTATTACTATTGTTGCTGTTATTATTATTATTACTATTATTACTATTACTATTACTATTGCTATTATTACTACTATTATTTTTACTATTATTATTATTATTATCATCATCCATCAGAAGGGGCATTTCCACCATCTCAGATAGAAAGCCCGTGGGAAGAGCAAAGTCAGCACCAGGTTGGACCCATAACCTTCCTTGTAAAAAATCCCAATTTTCAAGGAACAGCACAAAGGCAGGATGGACACCCTAGCTCTGGGCGCTCTCAGAGCTCTTCTCTCTGGGTTTTATTCCAGACTTCCTCCCAGACTTGGAGGAATGCCAGCTGGGTTTCCTGGGCTTTCAAAGCATGGCTTATGGAAGAGGTCGGAGAGAGGGACATAAATTTAAGATGTCATCACTTCCAAATTATCAGTGTGCTTGTTTTCTCCTCCAGAACTGATGACATTGGAAAAATCTGCTCAATCTTCATCCACATGAAGTTTGGCACACAAAACCTTCCTTGCCTGGGTCAGCTCCAGTGCAAACTTTCTCAAGCTCCTGTCAAAATTGATCCTGGAGGTGTTATCACCAGCTTCACCCTTCCTATCAGGGTGGTTTGGGGTTGGTTTGACAACCAAACAGGTGAGCTAGTGCCACATGTTCCTGCTGGGTGGCCCTTCTCAGCTAAATGTCACATGCAGAGAATTTCCCTGGTGCTGGAAAACTTGGGGAGGGGGAACTGGTTCCTGATCTCAGTCCCCATTGCTTTCTCCACAAACAGCAGGAATCTGCTCCCTGAGCTTGTGCATCCCCAGCTCCCAACTAACCAGGGAGGCAGAGAGGTCCCCCCACATCCCCTCTGCTCACTGCCCAGCAAGAAGATGCAGGCTCAGCTCCCACTTCTGAATAGACAAAAAGCTTTGGATCATGAGGGAATGAAGCACCAACACCCCCAAAGAGTTCCAGTCCTGGGTGGCTGCACTGGGAAGGTTTGCCATGGTGGCAGTGCCAGTGGAGAGCCTGCACAGAGCAGGAGCTCAAGCAGAGGCTGGTGGGCAGGTGGATGGCCCACACTCAGCTTTGCCTCCATCACCTTGCCTGTGTGTCAGCAGCAGGACCATAATGTGGAGGCTTTGGTGTCCATTCCTCCAGGCAGGGCTCATCTCCTGAATTGTACCCTGAGGTCTGAAAGGGCAGAGCCAGAGCCAGGCAGGGAGCAGAAGTCCAGCAAGGACTTGGTGCCATCAAGGTCAGGTGGA